ACACTACTCCGGCTCCTCCCCATCCCGTGCTCTGGGGGAGGGGTGGGGCAGTGCGGGTGGGTTAAAAGCTGGCAGCTGGGGGCCAACTGGGATGAAGCTCAGGTTGCCTTATGGCCGCCACCAGCCCTGTAGGTCCAGCTCCCTGCCCCTCATGCAGCAAGGGATGGGGCTGTGGGGGACGGGGCTTGCTGCTCACCCTGATTCCTTTCTTCGGTCAGGCCAGAGAGGCTGAGGGTGGAATCCGAAAGTTGGGGGAGAAGGAGGAGAAAAAGGAAGAGAAAGAGAGGGCAGCAGGGCTGGTCTTGATGGCAGAGGGGGCTCTGAATCCCCCCGGGGCCCTGCTGTCCCAGAGAAGAAAGGCCCAGGATGGGGCCCCCCAGGGGGTCAAGTTGGAGTTACACCCTCTGCTGAACAGGTAAGGCAGGTTTTGTGGCCTTGAACTAGACCTTCCTCTCTCGGCCTGGTTCCTCATCCAAGAAAGGTCAGAGCAGGCATAAGGCTTGGGCCCTATTGGCCCTTCTGGCCTTAACCCAACTGAGATTCTGTGTTAAACTCCCCCATCCTGCCCAGCCTTTCAGGATAACTAACCCCAGTCACCGTGGCGGGGTTGAGGGGGTGGGTGTCCTGTGCCCAAATCCCATCTCATCATTTGTCCCTGAAGGAGCATGACTTCCCCGCCAGCACAGGTGCTGCTTGTGATGGGCCCAAGAGGGCCGGCTCTCTGCTTCCTCCTGGCCTCCCCTCCCCCAGGTGGGCGCTGTGGTTCTTCAAGAATGACCGCAGCCGTGCCTGGCAGGACAACCTGCATCTGGTCACCAAGTTTGACACTGTGGAGGACTTCTGGGCGTGAGTGTCTGCTCCTGGCTGGGGAGGCCGGAGCCAGGGGACTGTGAGCTGGCAATCCTTCCCAGACCCCACCCCTCCATGGAGCTCTTTCCTCCCAGCTCTCCCTGGGACCTTTCAGCATTTGCTGAGGGCTGGGGCTTGGTGGGTTCTGCTTTCTGGGGCCTGGGACATGCCCCCCCCCCCCGAAACCTTCTCCGGGCTTCGGGAGAGAGGCTACGAGGGTGGGAGAAGCTAGGAGTTGCCCCAGACTCAGCAGCTCCAAGGCTTTGTGGCTCTGGGGAGGTTCTTTTCCCTCTCTGAGCTCGTCTCAGCCACAAAGGAAGGATTAGGCTGCCTGGTTGCTTCTGACCATCTGGTCTGACCATGGGTGATCAAGGGAAGGAATCTGAAAGGTGTAACACAAAGCCTAGGGGCAGGTGAGAGTCTGGGGCTCAACTGGGGAGGGGTGCCTGAACCCCCTCTCCCACCCAGCCCTGGGGGCTCTAAAAGCCTCCCTAGGTGGTTGGATGATTAGGGAAGTTTCCAGGGAGAAGGTGGCATTTGAGGGTTTGGGTAAGTAGAGATGGGATTCCAGGCAGGGGGTGGGAGGGTGTGAGCAAAGTCTTGGAGGCCTGAAGAGTGGGTGGAAAGTAGTGGAGTCTGGTGAGAAGTTGGGGGGGGGGGCAAGGCAAGTTGGAACCAGGCCATAAAAAAACTGGGGGTTTTTCCGGGGGGGGGGGGGGGGGGGGGGTTCTCTCCAGAATGTACAGTCACATCCAGCTGGCCAGTAAGCTCTCTTCCGGCTGTGACTACGCCCTGTTCAAGGTAAGCTCTGCCTCCCCCTAACCTACTTGGGGACCCTTCAGGCCTTCTCAGCTTCTGCTGCCTTCCTCCCTTGTGGAGGGTTTGGGGATGGGGGTGGCCACAGACAGCCTTCCTCAGCTGAGATGTGACTTCCAGTCCAAGGAAATACTAAACAGAAGCTTGGACAGCGTGTCAGGCTGGAGCTGTGCCTTGTAGGACCTTAAAGAGTCCGAAAGGGGATGGGGGATAAGCGGGAATTCAGAAGAAGCCCAGGTTTCTGGCCCGGCTCCTTAACTAGGGCCATGCCTCAGAATTGTCAGGGAATACTCCGCATCAATATCCAGGCCCTCATCAGTGTTCATCTCTGGAGGTCTTGACCCAGCAGGTGTGTGCGGTGGGACCCTCCCCTCCGTGTTTAAAGACCTCCCCAGATGATTTATGTACATACTACGGTGGCCCCTGAGGCTTCCTTAATACCCCCCGCCCCTGGCATTTGAACCATGGCCTCAAGGAACTCAGTTCAGTAAAGGAGACAAACATAAATGTATACTTACAAGGTTGCAAAAGGTGACAAGTGTCGAGGATCAGCGGCCTGGGGAGCCCATGGGAGGGTCTGGGGGGCTGAGTGGCTGGTGGTAGAACCTGCTTGTTCACAGGGGTTGGAGGCAAGAGGGACCCTGGCCTATGGAGGCTGATTTAGGGGCTGGAGCAGGGCCTGGGAAGGTGGTTGGGCCCACCTTTCCCTTTGAACAAAGGGAAGCTATTGATTGATTATCCCACCTTTTAGGATGGCATTGAGCCCATGTGGGAAGACAGCAGGAATAAGAGGGGTGGCCGCTGGCTGGTCAGTCTTGCCAAGCAGCAGCGCCACAGTGAGCTGGACCGCCTGTGGCTGGAGACTGTGAGTGGCCATGGGGAGAGGAGGGAGGGCTGGGGAGGGTCCCCCACTAGAAGAGGCTGGGCTGATGTGGTGTCAGTGGTCTCCAGGATAGTGGGAGCACTCCCTGTGACTCAGGTAGAGGTCTCACCATCCTCCCTTTTGGGCCCCAGCTGCTGTGCCTGATCGGGGAGAGCTTCGAGGAGCACAGCCGGGAGGTGTGTGGGGCTGTCATCAACATCCGAACCAAGGGGGACAAGATCGCCGTGTGGACGAGGGAGGCAGAGAACCAGGCGGGCGTGCTGCACATTGGGTGAGGGGTAGCTCTGGCGCAGGGTCTGTTCCAGGGGAGAAGGTGAGTGTGTGTGATGGGTGGTGGCTTGGCCTGTGAGGGAGACCTCTGGAACTTTCTGTGTCATCTCCTCCTTCCTTACCCACCTGTTACAGGGGTTTGGAATCCATATTTCAAGCTATTTCTAACAGGACTCTTCTTTTGCATTAAAGAGTCCTATCTGGGGTTTCCACGTAGGTAAGATGCAGAGAGAGTGATGGTGACTGGAACCAGGGTGGGAGCTCTGGGCAGAGGACCTGGGGTCCCAGGTTATCTCCAAGTCCCGCTGGTGACTCTCTCATTTCCTCTTCTACTCATCATCCAGGCAGGTCTACAAAGAGCGCCTAGGCCTCTCCACGAAGATCGTCATTGGGTATCAGGCCCATGCAGACACAGCCACCAAGAGCAACTCTCTAACTAAGAATAAGTTTGTGGTGTGATGAGACCTTGGCACCCCTCTCCATTCAACTGCCCCTGAGCCTCCCTGCTCACTCTCTGTGTGTGTGTGTGTGTGTGTGTGTGTGTGTGTGTGTGTGTAAGTGGTGCTGGGCTACAGTGCTGATGCTGGGCAGGACTGGGGGGTAGACAACTGGGTTTTCCCATGTCCTGGAGTGAATACGAACATTCTTTGAACTCCCATGTCCGGGAGTGAATAGGAGCATGTCCCTAGGCCTGAGTTGGGGCTCAGGCCTAGGGGACAGCTCTGTGGTCAGGGAGCCAGCCTGAGGATGCAGGAAAGGTGGAGGAAAGCCCTCAGTGTTTTTGTTTCATCAGAGGGTGGGTTGGGGTGAGTCACTGGGGGAAGCAGAGCTCAACTGAAGGTGGAAAGATGACAAGAGAATCCTACAGTCCAGCATACACCTGGGAAAAGGGTTGGGTGGCCTGAGGGTGACTCTTCTGTTTTGGGGGAGAGGGCCCAAGGCCCCAGACACTGAGAGCTGGGGCTCAAGAACAGGGGCTGGGGGCTGGGCTCTCATCTTTGTAATCACTCTACTTCAAGCCTTTATGCGTTTGCCTTCTCATGAGATTTGTACTGTATGTTGCACCTTCCCTTGACCAGATGTGGGTGGGTCCCTGGAGCAGGGCTATATGGGAGGTCACAAGGGTTGGAGGCTTGGAGGCAGAACCCCACTATCTCACAGAGAGACAAGTGTGTCCTCTTGCCCTGTCCTCAGCTGTGTCCGGGGTGTCTGGGCCTCGTCTGCCTCAGGGTCAGGCTGAAGTGGAGGTGGGTAGACAGACGAGATCCTGGCCCAGGAATGGAGGACAGCGGTGGTTAGGTCCCCTCATGGTTCTGCTTGAGGTGGATTAGCTGAAGGGTGATGAAGTTTAAGCCCTTTTTCTGTTCCTGTTCTAAATAAACACTTTTGAACAAAATTAGAATTATTTTCGAGAGTTCTAAAATGGAGTACTATTTGGGCCCCTGCAAACCATAATCACCTGTCTGGCCTTAAGGGGGGCTCATGTGAGACCCCCGGGGCCCAATCAGGCTCAAGCTAGTACGGGGAGAGGGGGAAGATGGAAAGAGTCAGGGACAGGTTTCCATGTTTGAGGGAGGGGTTCGAGACCAGGAGCTGGGTATATATATGCCCCTGGCAATGCCAGAGTGTCAGGGAGCAGCAGGCGTGGCCTTCACAAGACCCAACTGTCCTCTGGCCTGAGTCTGAGCCAGGAGAGGTCGAGATGAATTTCCATTGAGTGAAAAGCGCATCTGATTCGACTGCACTGTAATAAAGTGGACGGCACGTGTTTTAAAAACACCGTATCACCGTCCCCATCTGCTCATTAGAGCAGCAGTTACTCCTCTCTTGGACTGGACTCCGACAGCAAGGCTGGGGACTGGGGTGGCTCTGGTACTGAGCCTTGTAGGGTAGGAGTGACTGGGGGTGCTTCGTGCCTGCGACTTGCTGGGCCATCATCACGCTGCAGGTCCGCGGTCGCTGGGGAGATCTACGCAGCTGCCAGTACTCCGGGTGGGTCAGGCTTGGAGGCGGGGCTCCGAGTCGGGGGCGGAGCCTGCCCCTGGGGGCGGGGCTCGGAGGGGGCAGGGCAGGGGCGGAGTCAGGCCTAGAGGCTACGGGGCTCCGACGAGACAGCGCGGGCGGGGAGAGCAGGGCGGGCGGGTCGCCAGGGGCGGTCCCTGCGGGGCGGGCGGGGCCGGATCGGCGCTCTGTGTGGCCGCGGCCATGAAGCCGCAGCCGCCGGGCTAGGCCCCGGGCTGCTCTAGCCCAGGGCGGCCCGTGGAGGGCCGATCCCGGCCCCGGCTCCGGTTCCCGGGCCGGCGGGCGGCTGCTCACCATGCCGGGCAAGCACCAGCACTTCCAGGAACCCGAGGTCGGCTGCTGCGGGAAATACTTCCTGTTTGGCTTCAACATTGTCTTCTGGGTGAGAGCGGGGTGGGTTCCGGGCCCCGTGTTGGGGGTGGGGGGAGAAGGAGGTTCAGTCCCCTACTTGGTGGTGATGGTGGAGGAACCACTCCCTGCCTTAAGGACTTGGAACCGTCGCCCCCCACCTTCTTCCCACTCCCACCTCCACACCCACTCTCAGGACCACCCCAGGGAACCCCGGGGAGGCCCGGATTGCTGGAGGCGGGGCCCCAGGCGCCGCGGGGGTAGGGTATGGAGGTGGAGTCTCCCTGTATCTTCTCTAGCCCTGGTGGAGAAAGGGGAGGTGTTTCCTTGAAGGTCCCACGGACCTGTCTCCTGCCCAGCTCCTTTGCTACCCTGGAGTGTGGAGTGTGGTTGTGCGCTAAGCTCCGCACCTGGTTTAGTCCACAGGGAGGAGTGTCTCAGTGAAGGGAAGGGCCAGATCCCCTCGTCTAGCCTTAAGCTCCTGCAAGGCGGGTGGGAGGGTGGCGGGTAGGTCAGCCCGCTCCATACTGAGAGCTTGCGGGCTGGGAGGGCCAGTAGCTCTAGTTTACTCTGCTGGGGACAGGAGATCTCCCCTGTTGGGACGTCCGGAGCTGACCCTGGAGGAACAGAATTCAACATTCCGCAGCTGACAAAACCAAGCCTTTGGGGCGGTGCTGCCCCTGCCAGAAAAGGGAGCTGCTAGTGGAGCCCTCCCAGGGTGGCACCTGCCCCAGGGCCCTGCCAAGTCATCTTTCCCTTCTCCCTCCCGCATCCCATCTCTATGGCTCCTTGCTGCCTCTACAGTCTCTGTTCCTGCTGCCTTCAGTCAAAATGACAGGCCCATTCAGTTTTGTTCAGCGAGACTCTGGCCTCCTTACCTGGGAGAGGTGATACTAAAGCCTGCCCCTTGGGGTTGTTAGGCAGATTAAATGAATTCTAACTTGTATTTACACAGCTACTTTGTTATTTATTATCTACATTTTATGGATGAGGGAATAGGCACAGACAAGTTAAGTCGTTTAACAAAGAGTCACAAGGCTAGTTAAGTGTAGAGCCAAGGTACATACGGGGGCAGTGGGTGGGGTGAGGCAGAGCATGGAGAAGAGTGAGTCCCCGGATGCCAAGGGGGACAGGTGAGAGAAGCCCAGGATTGTTCCAGGCACACCCACTTTTGCAGGGGAGTGCGGTTGGGGAGCCAGAGCAGGAAAGGCCCCAGGTCTGGGACAGTGTTGGAGTTTCACAATGAGCACAGTGTAAAGCAGTGAGGGCTTCATTGCTGGTTGATGGGTCTGTTTTGGCTTTTGTATTGGAGGCAGATCTGTCTGCCTTCTTTGGGGGTAGGGGGGACATACAGATGGCCTGGAAGTTGGGAGACCAGGGAGGAGGGCTGGGGGGAAGCTGGGGGGTGGGGAGTGGGAAGTGAGGAAGTCTCCAGGGGAAATTATGAGGCTGAATTGACAGGACCAGGCCCCTTAGGGAGGCCATGAGAAGGTTTCAGGTTTGGGTCCAGGTGGCTGGAGGGAGGCGCCAGAGATTTTTGTTTGTTCTAATGGAACCTTGACCCTGGTGTTAACGCTGCTAAGAACCTTTCAGCGATTAATACAGTCCAGACTCCTCCAGTGATCTCTAGTCCCTTCTGGGGTCTGGCCCTGCTGCCCTTCAGTCTGTCCCTTGCACCGCCGCACTGGATCTTACCCCTGGGCTTCCAGCAGTCCCTCCACCTGAAATTTTCTTCTCCTTGATACACTTCCTCATCATTCAGAGCTCAGCTAAAATGTCCCCATTTTCCCTAACAAAAGAACACCTCCACGGCCCTCAGTCACTCCTCACCAGCCCCCAGTCACTCCTCACCGCATTACTGTTTGCTTTTCTTTTTTTTTTTTTAAACTTCAAGGTTCTTAAAGATTTTTATTTATTTGACAGACAGATCACAAGTAGGCAGAGAGGCAGGCAGAGAGAGAGAAAGAGGAGGAAGCAGGCTCCCCGCTGAGCAGAGAGCCCGATGTGGGGCTCTATCCCAGGACCCTGGGATCATGACCCAAGCCGAAGGCAGAGGCTTTAACCACTGAGCCACCCAGGCGCCCCACTGTTTGCTTTTCTTTAAAGGATCCATTGGTATCTGTAATTCGTTGTTTGCTCACTGTGGATTTTCCCCACTGGAGTGTAAACTCCTTAAGGGCAGGGAGCTCATTTGTCCTGTTTGCTGATGTACTTCCCACACATGGAACCGAGCCTGGGACACGGAGGTGTTTGCCTCAGGCAGGTGTGCCCTAGCACAAGGCCATGCAGTGGGATGAGGCGGGAGCAGTGATGTTTGGTTTCACATCCCAGATCTATGTGGGGGGAGGGAAGGAAAGACATTTTTCGAGAAGAGTACTGCAGCGAGAAGAGTCTTCAGAGAGAGAGGAAAGCATTAAAAGTGGGTGGTCATGGTGGAATGGACTGGAATTGGTGGGGGAAGGGGAAGGAGCCTGGGAAAGTGGGTGGGTGGGGACGGTGTGAAGAGGCAGGGTCATGGCCTTGTGCTGGGACAGAAGGGCCACTCTCCATGTGAGACTGGATATCTGGGGATCTGCTCAGGCTCAGGCATATGGCCTGGACATCCAGGATTCTGCACAGTAAGGAACTGAGGCAGGATGGTGGGTGGTGCTTAGAAGGTCCAGGCAGAACTGTGGCCAAATGTTTTCAAGTTCATAGCCTCTGGCCCAGATGGGGGTCCCTAAGCTGGATCCTGCTCACATCAGGATTCCTGTCATTCAGGGGTTTTTGCTTGTGAGCGTTGAAAACAGAGCAGAGCAGAGCAGGGCGGCTGCCACAGAGTTGCCGGCAGCAGGATGGCCAGATTGGGAAGAGGCAGGAAGGAGGCTAGCAGCCCGGAAGCTAGAACAGGCTTGGTGGGAGGAGAGGCTCAGGACATCACTGTTGCTGCTGCTTGGCAGGAGTGTCCCAGCCACCCTCTGCCGCAGTGCTGAGTTCCGGAAAGTGCTAGGGTGAGAACTGAAATGTGTTCTTGGGGAGGTAGAAAGGACCCGGGACCCCATTTATAGTCCAGTCCCCTTACCCCTCCCCTTTCCCAAGACCCTGACTACTAGACAGTGAGGGACTCTCCTGGGGGTGGGGAAGGATGCTGACACTCCAATGCTTAGCTCTTCGCTGCTGCTTCTGTAGGTGCTGGGAGCCCTGTTCCTGGCCATCGGCCTCTGGGCCTGGGGTGAGAAGGTAAGGCTGGGTGGAGCCGGGTATGGGGCTGCCCTAGGTTGAGGCGGGGGGACCATCGGCCTGACTACTTGCCTCTGCTCCCCTGGCACAGGGTGTTCTCTCCAACATCTCTGCACTGACCGATCTGGGAGGCCTCGACCCTGTGTGGCTGTTTGTAGTGGTTGGAGGCGTCATGTCGGTGCTGGGCTTTGCCGGCTGCATCGGGGCCCTCCGGGAGAACACTTTCCTGCTCAAGTTTGTGAGTGCACCCCCCACCTAGATCCGCTGGGGATCCCAGCCTCCTCCCACTGACTTCTTCATATAGTTCGTACTTAATAATGGCCAGTTTATTACTGTTGTGTTATTATAACAAAAATCATCAGAATTGTATTTTCTGTGTTTATAGGATCCTTTCTGTTATGCCTGAAACCCTGTGGCCCAAGCATAAAAGGGTATTTATGGGCTCACCAAGGAAAGGCCAGGGGTATGCTGGGTGCCCACTCATTTGGATCCAGGGGCCATCACAGTGTCACTTGGCCTGGTCTCTCTGTTTCTCTAGTGTGTCCTTCCAGTAGGCTCCATTCCCCATGGGACGGAAGGATGCCCACGAATGGGTGGGGGCTCCTACTGGAGGCTGAGGCTTTCTCTTCCCAACCAGTGGGTAGGGCCTTTAATTGCATCTCTTTGGTTCAGATTGGCTGTTTCTGGATCAATCCCTGTGGCGTGGCCCCGGGAGAGGTAGTGCTCTGATTGGTGGGCTTCCGGCGCATGCCCAGTCCTCTATCAGGAATGGGAAAGGAGGTGGAGATGGCTCTGGCTGGGCCTGAGAAGCTAAAGGTGTATGTGGAAGGTGGTTTCTCAAAGAAAACAGGGTGATTACCTGGGGAATCAGAATGGATGGGTAGGTCAGAACCGCGATGTCATTCGCCATCATAAAACAATACTAATAGGAGAGAAGGTGGGGACTCTCTCAGCTGTCTTGGGGTGGTGGTGGTGGAGGAGCTCCGCCGCGTGCCACCCCCCCTAGGCCCTGCATCTCTGACGCCAACCGTCTGTGTGCCCCCCACCCCAGTTCTCAGTGTTCCTTGGCCTCATCTTCTTCCTGGAGCTGGCAACAGGGATCCTGGCCTTCGTATTCAAGGACTGGATTCGAGACCAGCTCAATTTCTTCATTAACAACAACGTCAAGGCCTATCGGGACGACATTGACCTCCAGAACCTCATTGACTTTGCTCAGGAATATGTGAGTCCTGCGCCAGCGGGTTCCACCTGCGGGAGGCGGCTGCTGGGCAGATGTGGGAGAGAGCAAGCTTCCTGTGTTCTGGGGCCATTCCTCTGTCCACTACCCAGGGGAAAGGGCCAGACCCCTTGTCTGAGGTGAAGCCAGCTTCTGTGATCCTTGTAGGTCCTCAATGTGCCTAGTTCTGCGGGAACACGGTGTTGGGTAACAGAAGCCGGAGGCTCCAACCTGGCAGCTCCTAGGCCAGGGTTTACAACACACTTAAAGGAAGAAATTTGATAGAAAAATACAGATTTCCCCTTCTAAGAAACTCTGGACCGCTCGTGTTGGCTGGGGTTACAATCCTGCTGTCCACTTTGCTGGTATAGGGCCTCTCTGTTTGCCATCATCTCTGCCATTCTGTATCTTTATACCTGTTGGCCCTCTTCTCTCGTTTATGTTCTTTGTTTGGCCTCTGAATGTGTTCGAGTTCGAAACCTCCCCTCTCCACAGAAGCCCCCTGCCTAGTGGCCTCCTGACCCCCTCACAGCCCGGCCCTATGCTGTCTCCAGCAGCCCAAGCTCCCAGCCAGATGGAGCTCCTGGGGTGGGCCTGGCTCACCTGCGGCTCTCCTCTTGCCCCTTAGTGGTCTTGCTGTGGAGCCCGAGGGCCTAATGACTGGAACCTCAATATCTATTTCAACTGCACTGACTTGAACCCAAGCCGAGAGCGCTGCGGGGTGCCCTTCTCCTGCTGTGTCAGGGACCCTGCGGTGAGTGGGGCCTGGTGGGGACGGGCGGGGACATCGCAGTACATGGGCCACATGTGGGGAAAAGTCCCCCACAGGGCTCGCTGGGCTCGGCCCACTCCGGGGGCCTCGGGTGCTGGGGGGAGTCCTCCTAGTGGACATAAAGTAGACTTTGTGTCCATGAGCAGCAGTGAGGCCTGCTGGGGGAGGGGCTGCACCCTGCAGCCAAACCTGTCTTTTCGATAGTGGCAAGCCAGCTGCTACACCACTGGGCCACCATTCTGGAGTGGCAGGGCATGGGGATTCTTTATGGCTTTCTTCAGAGCAGAAACTTCTCCCAGGGATATCTCTCCCATCATAGTTCACCTGGGACACTGGGGGCCAGGACTCTTCCCATTCTTATAATACATGAGCAGACAGGAGTTCTAAACAGGAGGCAGTTCAGGTTGACATTGTCCTGGCACCAGGGAAAGAGGTGTGTGGGCCTCAGTGAGCCTCATGTAGCAGTGCTGGGCATGGACAGAGTCCGTGGTTCCATCTCCTTCCCCTGAGAAGCAGGAATCGTTGCAGCGCTGGGTGCCTTGGGTCCCTGTGGGGTACCCCCTCACCAAGTCGCTTATTGGCCTGTTTTTTCTCAGGAAGATGTCCTCAACACCCAGTGTGGCTATGATGTCCGGCTCAAACTGGTGAGAGGGTTGGGGACAGAATTGGGGGCACTGGGAAGGGAAGGTCAGCCTCTCATAGGCTCCTCTGAAAGGCCTCAGGGATTCTGTGGTTGGGGGTGGGGCTGCTGAGTCCTAGGAACCATCCAGGCACCTTGGGCTTGGTACTGCCAGTCATGGGGACAGTGTACTGGTGGGCACAGACACATCAGTGTTTGCTCATTTCAGTTCTTTGTCAAGCACGCACTGGTGCTCACACCTGGCAGCCCTGGATGCTGGGAATTCCTGCTTAGGAGATAGGCAGACAGAGCCCCTGCTCTCAAGGAGCTCCCACTCCAGTAGAGGGAGAAAGACAGTAAGCTCATTAATAAACACACATGAACAGTAATGTGACATTTTTAACCAAGAGCTTGGAAGAATATAAAGTAAGGGAGGTGATGGGATTGGGGCTGGGTGGTCAGGGAAGGCCTCTTGGAGGAGGGGACATCTGTTCTGAGACCCTGATGACCATCAGGAGCCTGTCATGCAAAGGCCCTGTGGTAGAGCTCCATCTAGGCAGTAGGTGCTAAGATGTTGGTCCCTGGGGTAGGGATGAGCCTAGCAAGCTAGACTGAGAGGAGGCCTGTGGGAGTGGGTGGGCCAAGCCCCTTGCCTGTTTGTCCCCAGGAGCTGGAGCAGCAGGGCTCCATACACACCAAAGGCTGTGTGGGCCAGTTTGAGAAGTGGCTGCAGGACAACCTGATCGTTGTGGCTGGGGTCTTTGTGGGCATCGCTCTCCTCCAGGTACTGCCTCAGCCCAGCATGCACCCTACACCCCTGCCCTGCCAGCAGACCTTCCTCACTTTGCCCCTTTGTCCCTACAGATCTTTGGTATTTGCCTGGCCCAGAACCTTGTGAGTGACATCAAGGCAGTGAAGGCCAACTGGTGAGGCTACCACACTGGCCATGGCTACCTGCCTGGCCTACTCAGGGACCCCCACGTCCCCTGCCACCGTACCCATGATGGGCAAGGCTGCAGGTGTTTCTGCTTGGACCCAAACAAGGGGTCCAAGGGTCTTGAGTGTGGGAGTGCTGTGCACCCGTGGGGACAGCTGTGTGCCTCTGCTTGCGCTGCCTGTCCTGGAGCTGTGTGCACGGAGGGTGGGTATGTCTGTGTGAATGTGCACAGGGAGCACCTTCTTGGCTGCTGTGGGGTGGCGGGCTCTCCAGGGAACTAGGAATGGCACAGCTAAGAGGGTGCTGGCTGGGTGGGGTGGGACTGGCTGTCCTGTCCCTGCCCAGGCTGGGACACACTGCTTTGTGCTTGGCTATTAGGGCAGGCTTGGTGGGCTATTGCCTGGGACACAGCCTCACTCAGCTTCAGAGCTGTCTTCTCTACTAGCTGGGACCTTGACCCTGCCAGAAGCCCCCTTCGGCCTCAATGTGTCAGACTCTAGAAATGGTCCAAGAGTTTTTTCTCCCTTGTTTGCCTCTCAGGATCAAACATGATGATGGCTACAAACTACTCAAATAAACAAACCTTGAAAACCACTGGCTTACGCCCACCATCTCAGAGGTTCCATGGGCCGCAGGGCCTCAGCCGTGTCATCCGCCTGGGGCCCCAGCCCGGACCCACCCTGCCAACATATTTTCTTGGCCTGGGTAGTATATACATTGAGCCAACCTTTAAAACTTGGCATATTTCACGTAAAAGTCCAGATCCCCAGCATCTTGTGAAGAATGGCCATCTGGCTACAGCGGCTCTTCTGTGGCTTCGTCTCCTGGGACGTGCGCTTCCTGTTCTCTGAGGGACCCACCTGGCCTTTTCTACTCACCCAAGTGTCCTGCCTGCCTGACCCTGGAGGCTGGGAGCTGGCCTCCTCCACCTCTGCAAGTTTTTCCACTGCAAATGCTGCAAGGCTGCTGTGGGCCAAGCCCGGATCGAAGCCTGGAGGGTGAAGAATTGGGGAGGCTGGAGCCTGCCCCGAAGAGGCCACAGCCTGGGAAGGGTCTGGCCCTCCTGGGGGCTAAGATGGGTGCCAGCGTGCCCAGGAGAGTGGCCGAAGGGTGGGATGGAGATCAGGAAGGTTTTGGGCAGGAGGTAGCTGGAAGCCTGAGCTTGTCACCCATGGGGATGGGGAGAGCCCTGTTTGAGGGCCATCGATGGTAGGACTCCTAGCCTCTCTTGGAATTCAGTTCAAAATCTTCCTAGTGGCCTGTAGAGTTGCCTCCTGACCACTAGAGGGCGCGCCTGCACAGCATTACCTGGGTCTGGCTTTCCTAGGGCAACCCCACCCAGTACAGCCCTGTGCCTGGTGTGTCCACCCTGCTTACTAGTTCTTTGGGTTTCAGGGAATTTACAAGCTTCTAAAGGAGCAGAGTGGCTCAGATTGGGGAAGCCTGGCTGCTGTTCTCAGATCTGCATAAAGGGGTATGTGTGGAGTGAGTATTTGTGAATCAAAGGAGAGGTTTGGCCTAGTTCCCAGTCTCTTAACTTAGATGCCCTCAGGGCCGGGTGGGTTATAAAAATAAAGTAGGCCTTTGAATTGTGAGGCCTTTGGGACTTTAATTTTTCCCACTATTCCTGGAGATGGGACATAGAGTAGAGAGACATTGCTTTGTGCTGAGAAATACTTGCATGATGAGTCTGAGTCGCTAAGGGCAACTGGCCTTGAGTGACATCAAGGTGTGGTGGGGACTGTGGCAAACCACAGATTCCCATCTGAAATTGGTGGCTGTCCTTCAGTTTGAGCTAATGGCTGTACAGCGAGAATGTAGGTAGGTCTAATGGGAGAAGTCTGGGGAAGCCAAGAAGCTAGATTTTTTATGTGAACTATCCCAAGTTTTAAGTTGTTTGCAGCTAATGAGAAAAACCTCTTAAACCCTGCTAGTCAAACAAAAGGTGTGGGGGCCATCTTTGGCACACACACCCCCACCACCACTATAGGTCCCTCGGGGACAGTGCCCCATGGGGGCCCTGGCGAGTCCGAGGTTCAGGAATGCTGGGAGCTGCTGCAGGTGGGCGGGGTGTGGGCCAGCACCCATCGTGGCTCCCAGGTGCGGGCTGGGCAGTGTCCGGGGGTCTCCGGGAGACACAGGCTGTGGGCGGGCTCTACATGCTACAATAAACGGGGCTCATGATATTGTGCATGTGCCTTGTGGTTTCTGATTGTAAACGCTTCTGCCTTTCACTTCACCTCAAACCTCACAGCACCTCCCGAGGTGGCCAAGTCTTTTCCCAATGAGGAAACCCTCTGGGGGAAGGGGTTCCCTGGAGCACACAGCTGGGAGGGCTGCACCCTGCCCCCATCTGACCCCTCTTGCTTGCTTGCACTGCACCAGTCCTGCCCTTCTGCAGCATCCAGGTGGAACCTGCACACTCGAAGTGTCAGCTCATGAGGGGCAGGAACATGTCTCAGCCCAGATGTCCGACCGCCTGCTTAGGTGTGTGTGTGGGGGGGAAGGTCAAGCTCCTGGCCCCTGTGCCGTGCTCTTCTGCAGGAGACACAAAAACGGGTAGGGGCAGAAGCATCGGTGTTAGTAATACATGCTCTCAAGAAAGGAAGAGGGATGGCTAGACCGTGACAGTTGGGGTGCTTGGGAGAAGGGGCTCCTTGATGGGGAGGTAGAAGGGCTGCCATCTCTGGGAAGCTCCAGGGGAACAGTGTTCTCTAGGGTTGAGTCCCAGTTGCCTTAGAGACCCTGCTGCTGGCATGGGTTTGGCATGAAGGAACCTGGGGTACCGAAGAGGTGGGAGTGGTGAGAGGGGCAGAGGGAAATGGGGGAACCAGAATATATTTGGAAATGGGAATGATGAGATGGGTATGACTGGTGGGAGTGATTGTGACCCTGGCTAGGGACCCAGGATTCTCCAAAGCTTAGTTCTGCTATAGGATATCCATCTGTCTATCTTTCATTCACCCTCTCATCCATCCACCTATGCACCCATCCACCCACCCATCCGTCCACCTATCCACTGATCCAACCATCTAATCCATCCATCCATCCATCCATCCACCCATCCATCCACCCATCCCTCCATCCATCCATCCATCCACTCCTCCCCACCCACCATCATCCACTCAGGTACTCCCTGGATGGAGGCTGGAGTTACCGAGGCAGCTCAAACTCACCCTTGTCCTGGAACCCACGGTCTCTTGGCAGAGGCAGTTGGAATAGTTGTAATGTATATATCATGACAAACTCATGATGATCACTGCTAGGTGGCATTTCATGCTATCCCCAAAGTGGAACCCAGAGCAGTTCTTTCTCTTGTGCTAAGGAATCCTTACCCAGAAGGGGATCTCTCCAGATGTGTAGAAAATACAAGGAAGCTTTATTTATCCTCTCCCAGCCCACCCCTCTAGGTAGGTCCCTAGGCTGTGGGGACCGAGGTCACCCTCCCACCCTCTGTCAGGGAGGAGTGTACCCTGGTTATGACAGAGGTGGCCATTGTCTGACAGCCTGGGAGCCTCCCAGAGTCCTGGGCCTGCAGAGTCTAACCAGAGGAGAGCTGCCGGCAGTATCTGACATCGGCTTAGAGGGAGGGGGTCCTGTGACATCAGGCTACTCCAGATGGGGGAACTGGAAAGGAAAGAGATCCTGGGCTGGTGGGCCCTTGAATCTCTGGATGAGGAGGTCAGACAGGCTCAGGAGGCCAGGTTAGGGTTTCCTCCAGAAGATGGGCAGTGAGGTTAATCAAGGTGGTGCAGACCTTGGAGGGAGCCACTCCCAGTGATCACCAGAGGGCACCAAAGCACAGCCCATGCAGTGTAGCCACCTCCGCTGCGGACAGGGGGCGGCTCTGGGTGTGGCCATCACTGCGGAGGAGGAGGGGTGTGGTGGGTGCTGGGGCTGAGCAAGGCCATAGCCATGGTTCCACAGACCTGGGGGCCCACCTTTTTGGAGCCAAATCCAGGCCTTGTCATCCTCTGGCCTCTCTTCAAGGACTCAGAGCCAATGATGCTGCCTGAGTCCACCTTCAGGCCCCCACAGATGGTGGGAAGGGGGTCCAGGCAACAGGCTCCAACACATACACCTTCACTCATTCAACCAGATTTACTGAGCACCTACTATGTGTCAGACACTTGTAGTATAAAGATACATAGGAAGAGGGCACCTGGGTGGCTCAGTCGTTAAGGTCATGATCCCAGGGTCCTTTGATTGAGCACTACTTCAGGCTCCCTGCTTGGCGGGAAGCCTGCTTCTCCCTCTGCCCACTCCCCCCTGCTTGTACTCTCTCTCTCACTGTCTCTCCCTCTGTCAAATAAATAAATCTTAAAAAAAAAAAAAAGATACATAAGGGACAAAACGAAGTCCCCCACCCCTGTGGCACTCACAGACCAGACCGGGGTGGGAGGGGGTGGTCGGTGGTCTTTGTCCGCAAAGGGCCAAACAGTAAACATTTTAGGCTTTCAGGTCATACAACCACTCAGCTCTGCTTTATGGCAGGAAGGAGCTCTTGACACAACAAACAGATGGGCGTGGCAGTGTTTTCCTAAGATTTCCTGGACACTGAAATTTGAATTTCATATAACGTCCATGTGTCGGCACAAAATATTATCCCCCTTTTGATGATCAACCATCAAAAAATATGAACCCATTCTTAGCTCTGGAGCTACATGGAAACAGGCAGTGGGCAGGAGTCCTCCTGGGCTAGAGTGGCAGACCAGCCAAGGAAGGAAATCCCGCCCAGTGAGCGTCACAGTGAGTCACTTAGCAGCGGAAGGCTGAGCGCCATGGGAATATCAGAGAGAACAGGGGCCTTGGGAGTGTGTGGGGTCGTCAATGAGTGGTCTTGCTTTCTATGAAAAAGCGACATGAAATAAAGTCTTTAATTTTAATTGTTTTATTTATTTTTTTTAAAGATTTATTTATTTTAGAGAGAGAGAAGAGAGGGAGGGGGGCAGAAGGAGAAAGAGATTTGCCCCGAGTACAGAGCCCTATGCAGGGCTTGATCCCACCACCCTGATAACATGACCTGAACCGACTCTCAACCGACTGAACTGCCCAGATACCCCTGATTTTAATTTTAAATTATTTTGATAGCACAGGTAAAATAGGAACCCAATTGCCTTAAAAAAATGGATGAAACTAAAGTTCCCTAACTCCCGTTCTACTCCCCTCTCCTGCCTTCCTCCCCTGTCACCACCGCTGTGAGGCATAAATCCTTCCAGACATTTTATATTTTTTAAAATTTCGCACTCATGGGGCCTCTGGGTGGCTCAGTTGCTTAAGTGTCTGCCTTCAGCTCAGGTCATGATCCCAGGGTCCTGGGATCGAGCCCCCACATCAGGCTCCCTGCTCAGCAGAGAGTCTGCTTCTCTCTCTCCCTCTGCCTGCTGCTCCCCCTGCTTGTGCTCTCTCTCTGTCTAATAAATAAATAAATAAAATCTTCAAAAAAAAATAAAATTTTGCACTCATGTTACGTACACATAGAAAATATTGGTGTCAGTGTGTGTGTGTGTGTGTGCGTGTGTGTGTGTGTGTGGTGTGTGTGTGTGTTTGACGTGCCAGGACACCACTCCTGCCTTGCTGTAGCTTGCTTTTCCAAACCCCACAATATGTTTTGAAGACCTGGTCATGTCTGTGCATGTTGAGCTGCTTTGTTTCGTGTGACTGCTGGGGTGTTTCCCTGCAAGGACAAGCCATGTTTTGCCTCTCTGTCCCTTAACTGATAGGTGGTCGAGAGTCAAGCTGTTACCACTTGGGCTCTACTCCAAGGCTCTGGTGAGAGGCACAGGCAAGCCCTTGCTCCTGGGGTTTAGACTGGAGCAGCTACCCCTTCACTGGACAAGAGGATGAGGGCTACGGAGAAGGGTGGCCTCAAGTCAGGGCTGATGGCAGCGTTGGCCCCGGCAGGACCCTTCCTGGGCCTGGGGCCTCATTTCTGCTCCTCAGCCCAAGCATTGGCCTGATAGGCAGCATTTACTGCCTCTGGGGGCCTGGAGCTCAGCCCATCAGAGATGTGAAAGCCACACAATTAGCCCCTTGGCATTGCCAAGACCGTTGCCATGGTGATGCCTACCTGGTCCCCTGTGCAGCTACGCAGACAGATGGGGACATCGGTACCCTGTGTACAGAGGGGCCACCGCCGTGGCCCAAAGTTCTAGTTCTTGGCAGAGGCTTAGACACCTGGAGGCTTGGACACATCTGGACACCTGGGTCCTACTTCCAGGTATGATCCTCTGGAAATTAGCTCTCGGGCCTGCCTCCCGATCAGGCCAGACCGTCCGTCCCCAGGCTGCTCCAGCACTCGCCTGCCCCCATCTGGGGGAGTCTCCTGGAATCATGCCTGGGGAGAGGGGGTTCCGGGCAGAGGGGCCACATGGAATTCCAGGTGGCTTGCCTGCCAGCCAACATTTGCAAATTATCTGTGTCAGCCAGGCCCCCCTGGGTGCCCCGAGCCTGGCAGCAGCTCTGACACGGTTTCTGTCCTCAGGGGGCTCGGGGGCTGGTGGGAGATTCGGGCAGGTGAGTCCCCAGGCTTGACAAGTGATTTATTTGTTTGAATAGGCGGTGCAGGCATGTGGTTAAAAATCACAAGCTGCATGGAAGGATACGTGCAAATCCCTTCTCGCCCCAGTCTCCTGGTCACCTTCTCCTCCCCAGAGCAGTCACTATTGTTAGTCCTGGCCGTGTCCTCCTGGAGATGGTCTGTGCATCCAAAAGCAGATCTCCTCAAGAAACAAAGCAAGCCAGAACCCAGTCCACGCACTGCGCGACTGGCGCCTCCAGCAGAATCTTCTGTCTGCATTTTTCACTGACCAGCATTTCTGGGAGATAATTACATATCAGTATGGAATGGATAGACCCACCCCGTTCTTTTTAACAATAGTAAAGCGATAATAATAGCAGGAACTTGTACTTACTATGTGCCCATGCTCCTCTAAGCACTTTTTTTTTTTTAATAGTTTATTTATTTATTTGACAGGGAGAGAGAGAGAGAGAGAGAGAGAGATCAGAAGTAGGCAGAGAGGAGGAAGCAGGATCCCTGCTGAGCAGAGAACCCCCCAGGGGCTCGATTCCAGGACCCTGAGATCATGACCTGAGCCGAAGGCAGAGGCTTAACCCACTGAGCCACCCAGGCGCCCTTAAGCACTTTATTTTTATTAACTGACCTCCTTCCCCAAACAGCTTGGACACG